TCATAAGAATTCCTTTACTTTCTGAAAAGATAGAGAGAAATAGGCTACAAAAGCTTCACGACTATTGGAGTTGAGCTTGAACATCTGTACGGTGAGACTATTTCGTTTTCAGTGAAAGTTCCTGTTGCACAGTCACTAATGTCTGGACTGTTTCCTAAGCCTATTCGTGTTGGTTCCAAAACGATGACTTAGACCCCTGAATCTGCGTACTGTGTCGGTTAATATGTACCTTCTTTAGAGCAGAGAATTACTGTTCGTAAGAGACGCACCGGTTGCAGGAATGGTGGAAAAACAAGTACAAGTAACTTTGTGACTTCTCATAAGTGTACTCAGATATGAAAGGCTGAAGTATTTAAGCAGACCCCAAACTCCACCGACCCATCCAACCTTCCCAAGTACCTAAACACCACCGATCCACCCAACCTAAGCCTCTGCAGTTCTTTTTTAGTTTTGGGTGCTATTCAGTTTCTTGACCTTGCACGGAGATCGGGCCGTCACAAGTCCTATACCTATATACAAAATACAAACATTCATGCCTCGAGTGGGATTCGAACCCATGATCCCAGCGCTCGAGCGAGCCAAGACAGTTCATGCCTTACACCGTGAGGCCACTGTGAACCGCGACCCAAAACACTACAATATAAAAGTTCTTCCGACCAATAAATAACGGAGAATTCGGGTTTTCAAAAGAATAAAATTAAAACACCGACCCTATAATTTCAACGACTAATGAGGGAAAGCCAGAAACGCTTCGTAATGGTGTTTCAAATTTCAGGATATTAGAACTGAAGTGAACTTTAGTTAGTTTTGGAGAACCACCTGGTGAACCGTCCCTTCATAGCGTGGACTAATTCACATCACAGTCGGCGATAATAGGTTTTTCGATTGTTATTAGTTAGTTCACTCGAAATTGAGTAGCGATATGATAAGATCGGTCGCACACGCGAGCCAATATTTACAAGTTTGACTTTACAGAATTCACTGTTGTTTAATAACGAATTCGAACAGAATTCACTGTTGTTTAATCACGAATTTGACAGAATGGCGGAAGTCTGATAAAAACCTCAAAGACTTCAGTCAGTACAGATGTTTTCTATATTATATTTAAGCATCCTCTTACATTGCACACTTCTATACGTATTGAAGCACGCACACAGAGAGCCTGAACAGAGTAACACGCAAGCTGTGCTGAAAGCAAGTAATAGCCGCTGGAGCACATATGAGCATAGAGCATGCATCTCTGATATTTTATTATAAATTTAAATATTAAAGCTAAATTGAGAATTTAGAACTTTAAACCAATCGAAGAACGAATATTAATAAAGAATTTAAACATAATTGACAAATCCGAGGACAGTTCTGGAATATCGGGTGCCGATTGATGACAGAGCATTGAACAATGGAAATCTGAGTTTAAATGTTAATATTGAGTGCAGTGTGACAGCTACGTGAAATCAAATATACCTGATCATGGCTGGTTGCGGCCGAAACATTTAGTGTAAAAAGGGGGACAAGAACTACAATAAAGTGTTAAATTTATCATGCAGTTTATATTACACATATAAATATTTTTAACCAGAGTAAACAACAAAAGAAAGATTGGGTTACTCAGGGAATAAGAAAGTCCAGTAAAAGGATGAGTTGGTCGAACAGTTTGCAAAAGAGAACAAATCTTACAGGAAAAGAACAGGAGTATATAAATAAATATCGAATGATATATAAGAGAGTAATAAAGGAAGCTAAGAAGAGGGAAAATGATAGGCATATAGCTAATGCAGAAAACAAAAGTAGAGCAATGTGGCAAATTAGGAAATAACCTGCAAAGGGAACTGGGAATAGAACTAAAGTGCGGGACAAGGAAAGAGGCAAATCCACAGCGTATAGCTGAAATGTTTAATTTATGTTTTGCGGACATAGTAGGAAAGCTTGTCAAACAAAATAATAGTACGATGCTGTGCTGTAAAACACCACAGAGAATAAATACCTGTAATGATACCATGTTTATTTGTCCAGTGACAGAAAACAAGATATTATAAGTGGAGAAGAAATTTAGGGGGAAATTTTCAGCAGGTACCGATGAAATACTAGATTATGTGGTTAAAAAATGTATAGAAGTGGTTAAAACGCCATTAGCCTGCAAAGGCCTCGTGAGTGAGCTGAAAATGGAAAACAATTTCTCATGATTGCACATACTTACAGGCGAAATGATGGAAGAATCTCCATTTGTTGTCTGGTAATAAAAGATAAATCTCTTTTTTCCATATATTGTTTCACGAAAAATGCCAGCCGTCTTGACAAGCATAATTGAATGTGCATGCGGCCTCTTTGCTGGTAAGTAACATATTATCACATGTTAGTGACTAGACACTGGGTTTGGACTGATTACTGGATGTACTGAACAGTTATGACTCGTAACTACAAATGATTATAATAGTCTCGCTAATTTACACACACTACAAATAAATACGGCTGTGGTAGGATAAATGTCAATGGTACGTTCTCCTGCAAAGCAAAGTCTACACTTCTCACCTTGTCCAGATGTGGTGGATAGAGCAACAAGAAAACGTATCGTCACCCTCTGCGGATCTCACGACCACAAAGGAGAGGGAAACAGGCTCATGAATTGGTTCTCCAGAGAATCACTATAGTCTCTTGAAAATGCGGCACGGCTGCTTTGTCGAATATACCCTTGAGTACGGCTATACACCGACCCACTGCAACATCGTCAGCCACCTTATCCATGATGGAAGTAACCTCCCCCGCCCCTAACAACAAGGACTGGTGCTCGATACAAGTTCCAGAACAGAAACAGCTGTCCCCTGCTTGCAGTTGTGCTGCCGCCATTACCAAACCCATTAATGCCGACATTCTAGAAATATTCTCTGAATTTAACCTGCTCTTAAAACTCTTGGTGAATGTATAATTTTTATTTGTTGGCGACACCTCCAAATGAACCTACTTATTCGTCTGGTGTTGACCACGATTTTTGGGCGAAAATGACAGATATCAAAATGATATCCTTTATACTGTTTTCGGATAATCATATGGAGTCATTCACGGCCATTTCTGCAAAGGCCTCGCGAGTGAGCTGAAAATGGAAAATAATTTCTCACGATTCCATGTACTAACAGGCGAAATGATGGAAGAATCTCCATTTGTTGCACAGTAATAAAAGATAAATCTAATTTTTCCATACATTGTTTCAGGAAACAGGGATGATTTTATGTCACCCGAGGACGTCTTGGCAACCATCTTAGGCTCCTCGACTGGTAAGTAACATATTGTCATGTGTTAGTGACTAGACACTGGGTTTGGGTTGATTGGTTCATTTGCCAAACAGTTATGACTGATAACTACAAATGATTATAATAGTCTCGTTAATTTACACACTCTACAAATAAATACGGCTGTGGTAGGATAATTGTCGATGGTACCTTCACCTGCAAAGCAATGTCTACACTTCACACCTTGACCAGATGTGGTGGATAGAGCAACAAGAAAACGTATCATCGCCCTCTGCAGATCTCACGACCACAAAGGGGAGGGAAACACAGGCTCACGATTGGTTCTCCAGAGAATCACTATAGTCTCTTGAAAATGCGGCACGGCTGCTTTGTCGAATATACCCTTGAGAACCGCTATACACTGCAACATCGTTAGCAACCTCATCTATGATTGCAGTAACCTCCTTCGCCTCCGCTCGCCCCTACCAACAAGAACTGGTGCTCGATTTAACTTTCAAAACAGAATAGTGCCGACACCTAGAAATATTCTCCGAAAGTAATCTGCTCTTAAATTCTTCGTGAATGTAATTTGTATTTGTTGGTGACACCTCCAAATGAACCTACTTATTCGTCTGGTGTTGACCACGTTTTTTGGGCGAGAATGGCAGATATCAAATTGAAATCCTTTATACTGTTTTCGGATAATCATATATGGAGTCATTCTCGGCCATTTCTGCAAAGGCTTCGCGAGTGAGCTGAAAATGGAAAATAATTTCTCACGATTCCACGTACTTACAGGCAAAATGATGGAAGAATCTCCATTTGTTGCCTGGTAATAAAAGAAAAATCTAATTTTTCCATACATTACGCATGTTTTTCAAACAAAACATACTCTCAAGAGTATGTTTGTCAAGACCACTCCAAAAGGAGAACCTCAGCATACCTCACATTGTATTTATAGTATCCCTTGTGAGTGTGGCAGATATTACATCGGGGAGACTGGAAGACCGCTGGCAGTGAGACTTCGTGAGCACAAGCACACGTTCAAGGAGGGCCTTCTGGACAAGTCAAGATTGGCCCAACACGCCTACGAGGAGGACCATTCTGTGAAGTGGGATGGAACGGGGATCCTGGACCTCGAGAGGAACGCTACCGTCAGGAAATACAAGGAGGCAGCATATATGGCTTGGGCTGGCAACACGATTAGCCAACCCAGCTTGGATTTCTCCATCATTTGGTCACCCCTGGTGTTTGAGGAAATGAATGGCATTCATAACAGCAAGAAGAGGGGTGATTAGAACTCCCTAAGTTTT